AACATTCAAATAGAGAATATGTTTACTCCTGAATCCAAAGTGGCCCATGTATCTCTTTCTAAGGGTAGAGTATATAAGATAAAGCAACTTGCCCTTCATCTTGGTAGAAATATTGTGACATGCCCCAGACTACTGGACTCTTGGAAAGTTTTCTACCATGTCATGCTCCTGAATATTTTAAGGGTTTATCTTTCATCCTGTGTCATGTATTTGTTGTACAAAGGCATGTAGAATATTTGCTACTTGCTACATATGAAGTTGAATACCTCAAAGGAGAAAAGAACTAAAACTTACATTATATGCTTGTAGACTCCTATATTTTTTTCTTCTAGCATATATCAAATGTAATTAACAGTTGTCTAATCAGTTGAATATCTTTATCTTTCTACAGACTATAAACTTCACAGGACAGGAACCCTATTTGTCCTGTACAGTGCTATGCCCTGTACCTTGCCTTGCATATAGTGGTCTCTCAATACTTAAATGAATGGATAGATGGCTGAAAGGAAAAGATGGGAAAATATAGGAAAGGATAGAATAGCCAACATGGAGAATAGATGTAATAAAGAAGCATTGGAGGAAGTCACCCAGGAATTTAGTCAGAGGCCTATTCATGAGGAAACTTGAGGCCATATTTTTGCAACTAAAATTTTTCTGAAAGGTTGCAAGGAGTCATGGACAGGGGTCTATGCTTCTTTGTTGAAATCGATTCATTCTTCAAGGATGCTCTCATTTTATATTTTGGTTAGTTATACATTCATACATAAGTTAGCACATACATATTTACACATACACATTTTTAGTTTTATCACATAATACAATTAGAGAATCCATTTCACTTTTTTTTTTTTTTTTTGCATTTATCTTCAGATAGAGTGGGAGGGAGAGAGGGAGGAAGAGAGAGAGAGAGAAACATCTATGTGAGAGAGACACATCAACTGGTTGCCACCCACACGACCCCAACAGGGGTCTGGGACAAACCACAACCGAGGTACATGCCCTTAGCAGGAACCGAACCCGGGCCTCTCTAGTCCAGCGAGCCGACGCTCTAACTGCTGAGCCAAACCAGCCAGGGCCCATTTCACTTTTTAGTTTTGTCTTACTAGCACCTGGCATATTACCTGAACATCCTAAGCACTTCAACATGTGTCAAATGAACAAACAAAGGCCCAGTTGAAGCCTTCTCTGATCACCTCACCTGGAAATGCTCTTACATTCTTGAACTCAATTGTATTCTGTTTAGTCTTTGCTTGGTACTTTTCATATATTGCCTTGTTTTATAGTTATTTATGTAAATCTTTTTCTAAATTGGAAGGGTTGTCATCTTCTTTTTTGTATCCCAATAACATAGTAAATTTTCTTATATGAGAAAGACATTAAGTATATATTTATTGGTATATACTTTATTGTAAATATTATGGGTAGCAAAGAATTAATTATACAACAAGAATTCTAATTCTTAAGGTGTATTATTAAGTTGTTTTAATTTCCATATGTATTTTTATTCTATAATTTGATGTTATTTTCACAAATTGGGTGGGTATGGGTGGTACAGGAAAACTTTCACTTTGGAAAAAGTTATAAATCTTGTAAATCTTCTTAAAAACCATTTTAAATTGAGATATTCACCTGCCATGAAATCCACTACTTTAAAGTGTAAAATATAATTGTTTTTTGTATATGTACAATATTATACAAACATCGCCATTATCTGACTGGTTCTCATGCTAACTTTGTTACTTTGGATCATGTATTTTATTTTTCTTTCCTTTTAGTATGTCTCGTAATCTTTTGTTGAAAATTGGACATGATATATAGGATAATAGAAAGTGAGGTTAAATAGGCCGTTAGTGAAAGGTCTGTGTTAATCTGGCTAGTGTTAATCTAGCTGAGTGCCACCGGCTTCAGTTCTCTCTCTCCTGTTTTCATACATTGCCCTAAGAATTCCTTCTTAAATAGAATCTGGACCCTGTTACTCTTCCAGCTGTAACCCACTGTTGTTATAATACTGGAGCCCTGGTGATGCAGTGGTAAGGTGTTGTGGGAAAGAGTTGTTTTATAATTTATGATTGACTCTGAGCCTTTTAGTGGGCCCGGATCCCCGGGATGTGACCTTCAGAAATGCTTTTTGGCCCTTTTCTTCTCTTAGGTAAGATAAGGAGGATGGATAAGGTGGCTGGTGTTGACTGCTTGTCCTTCCCTCGGTCACAGAAGATTCTGGTAGCATCGTTTCATTTGCAGCAGTGGTGCTTATTACAGAAATGGATTGGCTGTATTTCACAATGGTTATTTAACTCACCATATACCTGAAATGGTAGGGGATTTTGAGGGTCATCACTGTGAGAACCTGGTGGGGTTCTTTGAGGTAAATCACATAAAAATGTTTGGGTTTCCCAAAGATTTTTGGGCCCCAAGGAGTTTCTCAGTCTTGAACTAGTCCACACTCAGCCTCCAGGAATTTGTTAAAATGATCACTTCTGTGTTCATAGTAGATTATGGCTCCAGTATCTTTTGCTCCAGATAAGCCGATTTTAGCTGGTTCCCTGTATTGGCCTGTCTCTCAATCTCTCAGATTTCTGAGTGACAGTTTGCTCTGTGATTCTCAGATGAGCCCAAGAAAAGTGTTTTATTTTCAGTTTGTTTCTCTTGTATTTTATAAGGATAGAACTGAAGACTTTCAAGCCCTCTCCATGTTGTAGCTAAAACCGGAACTCTTCCAAATTTTTTTATAAAGGACTACATAGGATATATTTTAGATTGTGTGAGCTGCATGATCTTTGTTCTAGTTACTCAACTCTACTATTGTAGCATGAAACAAAGCAGCCATAGACAATGCATAAATAAACAGGAGTCTCTATATTGTACTTCTATCATGTCATTTATTTCTGCTCTAATCTTTATGACTTCCTTCCTTCTGCTTACTTTGGGTTTAGTTTTATTTATTTATTTTTTTCTACTTTCTCTAGTTTCTGAAGGTGGAAAGGTTAGACTATTGATTTAAGATCTTTTTATGGGGGTATGTACAGCTATACATTGCCCTCTAAGAACTCTTTTCATTGAATCCCATAAGTTTTGGTATGTTGTGTTTTCATTTTTATTCATCTCAAGGTATTTTCTACTTTCTCTTGTGATTTTTTGTTTTGAACTACTGATTATTTAAGAATGCATTGTTTAATTTCCACATATCTGTGAACATCCCTAATTTCAGACTTTTATTTGTGTCTTATTTCATTATTTTGGTCAGAAAATATTCTTTGTATGATTTCAATAGTTTTAACTTTACTGAGGCCTCTTCTTATGGCTTTAATATATGATCTGTCCTGGAGAGTGTCCATGTGCCCCTGAGAGAATATACATTCTCCTGTCGTTAGGCTGGGTGTTATACAGATGTCTGCTAAGTTCAGTTCATTCGTAGTGTTGTGAAAGTCTTCTATTTTTTGTTGTTGTTGATCTTCCTAGTTATTCTTTTCATTATTGAAACTGGGATATTGAATTCTCCAACTATTGTTGAGTTGTCAGTTTCTCTTTCAATTCTGTCAGCTTTTGCCTCGTGTATTTTGGGGCTTGCTTTAAAGGTGCACATTTGTTTATAATTGTTTTATCTTCTTGAGCGGATCAATCTTTTTATCATTGTAAAATATCCTTCTTGTCTCTATTTTTTTATTCTGATATCACTATAGCCACTCTGGTTCTCTTTTGGTTACCATGTGTGGTGTGTCTTTTCCCATTCATTTTCTTACAAGATATTTATGTTTGTGAATCTAAAATGTGTGTCTTGTATATAGTGTATAGTTGAATTACATCTTTAAAAAAAATCTAGTCTTCCAATCTCTGCATTTTAATTAAAGACATTAATCTATTTAAATATAATGTAATTATGAATAAGGAATCACTTATATCTGCATTTTGCTCTTTGTTTTCTATATATCTTACTTTTTTTGTTTGTTTCTCTATTTCCTCATTACTGCTTTCTTTTTTATTAAATGTCTCATAGTATATCATTTTAATACCTTGTCATTTCTCTTATTATATTTGCTATTTTTAGTTACATTTTTGTTGGGTTTCCTAAGGATTGCAATGAAAAACTCTAACCACTGGTGTGCCCAGTGGTTAGAGTGTTGGTCTGCACAATGAAGGTCGGGGGTTCAATTCCTGGTCAAGGGCATGTACCTGGGTTGCAGGTTCGATCCCTGGTCCCAGCTAGGGTGCATGCGGGAGGCAACTAGTAGATGTGTCTCTAATCAATGTTTCTCTCTTTTTTCTCTTCCCCTCCCTCCCTTCCACTCTTTCTGAAAAAAAAAAAAAAAATCAATGGAAAAAATATTCTCAGTGAGGATTAATAACAACAAAACATCTTAACTTATGACAATCTAGTTTATAATAAAAACAATTGAATTACAGTAGTGTACAAAAACTTTCTTCTTTAGCTCCCCATCCCATCCTTCCCCCTTTTGGCTGTTGCAGTCAAACATATTACATCTTTATGTATTGTATGTTCATTAACACCACAATAATCATTCTTTATACAGTTGTTTTTAAAATCACACAGGAGATATATATAAAGAGTTTCAAACTAAAAAATACATTTAAACTGCTACTTTTACCAGTGCTCTTTATTTCTTCATGTGGATTAGAGCTACACAGCTCAATTACTGTCTGAGTCTCTGCCAAGAACTTCTCCAGAAAAGAGGGCACCAGTAGCCCCTGTGGGCTGCAGCCAGCAGAGCGCTCTGTAGGACGGGAGCCCCAGGGTGCTGGAGGACCAGGTGAGTCCTCCAACCTTCTAGGCTTCCAGGCTGGTGCTGTAAGAAGAGGGGTGCTCCACCCTGGGAAGATGGCTTGCTAGCAGGCTTCCTCCTCTCCCAGACAGACTGAATCCCCATTGACCAGACAAGAAAATTGGGACTTAGAGAAGTGGCTTAGCCCCAAGTCCCACAAGAGTTAGTGGCCTGGGGCCTCCACGAGTAACACTGCCTTTTAGACAAACTGCAGTCCCTCCTTCGTAAGGTGGGATAATCCTGACCTGTTCCTCCTTTTGGAGGGCAGATTGGAACATGATGATTGGAGTTTGCATGATTTGTGATTATCGTTTCTGCAGTAATCAGGACTTAAATCACCCTGATTGCTCCTTTCTGATTCTTAAAAAAATAAAGTGCAGTCCCTCCAAATAATGCTACCAAAGTGCTGACGGCACTCCTCCGCCCTGCAAGGAAAGGAAAGTGTCTCTGGGAAGACGCCTGCGCCTAGAATACTGGACTCCAAACAATGTGGGGCCAAGCGGAAACTGCTTGAGAAGCAGGTGGGACTGCCACACTTTCCCAGTGACAAAGGCATCTCCTCGACCCCATCAGGCTCACCTGAGCTCTCTTTTCAACTAAACCTCAAACCCTGGACTTCTGTGTCCTTCCTTGTAGAGCCCAGTTCTAGCAAGAATGTGAAGTCAGTTTAGTCAGAATCCCCCGTCCTCTGTGTCTGATCACCTCTGTCTCTGATCCGCTCAGCTTCTTTATCCTCCATCTTCTCCTAGTGTTGTCTGATCACCCTGGCCAGCCTTCAGCAAGGTCTGCTAGGTCGTTGTAGCCAGAGTCCCCCTTACCCCTTATGTTTCTTAGTAACTTTCCTTCCACTGCCCTGGCAGGAAACTCCCACTGGCTATAAATGCCCCCTTTTTCCTGTATTCAGGGCAGAGACAAATCTCCACCCTGTCCACTGCAGTGGCACCTGTACTTGTCAAGATGGTTCTGAATAAAATTTGCCTTCTTTGTCCGGCTGGTGTGGCTCAGTGGTTGAGCATCGATTCATGCACCAGGAGGTCGCTGGTTCGAATCCCGGTCAGGACACATGCCCAGGGTGTAGGCCAAATCCCCAGTAGGGGGCATGCAGGAGGCAGCCAATCGATGTTCTCTCTCATTGATGTTTCTGTCTCTCCCTCTCCTTATTTCCTTTCTCTGTAAAATCAATAAAGGAAAAAATAAAATTTGCCTCCTTTAATGATGTCTTAAGTAATATGTATATATATATTTTTGGCACCACCTAAATCAGAATTTCAACTGCAGTCTTAGAACCAGACACGTTGAGCATCATAAAACAATGATCCTGAAAGGGAACATACATGGCTGTTTCCTATAAGTCCCTCATTAAAAAAAAAAAAAAAAAAGTTGAGGTAAAATACACCAAACATAAAACGAGCAATTCAGTGGCATTTACTGCATTTACAATGCTGTGCAACCACCTCTATCTAGTTCCAAAACACAGTCATCTCCCCAAAGTACACCCATACCCATTGAGCAGTTACTCCTCTGTCCCTCTCCCTGGCTTCTGGCAATCACCAACCTGCTTACTCTCTAAGGATAAAAAAAAAAAGTTGGTGGAATAGCTGGACCTTGAGCCCAGCCAGGTCAGCTTAGTGACAGAGGCCGTGTTCTCCCATCAGCTTCACAACCCGGCGCACACCTCCCTCTAAGGAATAGTTAGAATGTTTTTTTTCTATTAAAAATCCAGGATGGTCTTTTCTAGAATTTTGAGTGTCATACATTAGCTTCGTATTACAAGGTCTTTCCTCTTCCCTCTTTGGCTCAAAGCCATACTGATTAAATGAAAGGGTATGGTGACAACTTGTTCTTTCTATGATTCTCATTTCCTCAACCGTATCTTAGTGCAGCAATTTCCAGCCGTTTTCATCTCAAGGCTCACATAAACTAATTACTAAAATTCTGCAGCATGCCAAAAGAAAAACAATTTTTTGCTGATGTGACAAAAAAATAGTATAATTTTTATTCATTCACACTGGATGGCTATTGTGTTGGCTGTTGTCATTTTTTTAATTTGATAGTCCAAGTGAAAGAGATCAGTGCCCCTGACTCAGTAGTCAGGTACTGCATGTTTTAAAAATTCTTGCAGCACACCAGTTAAAGATTGCTTTCTTAGTGCTCTAGTAGTCAAGCAATTGCAATTGTTTAAAATCAGCTTCTTATTTAGACTTAATGTAAAATCCTAGAAAATGAGTAAAAGTAGCAGTGGAGTAGAAACAATACCAAAATTAGAATCTGAAAACCCGATTTCCAGTCCGGTTTCTGCCCCTTTCTATCTATGTGCTCTTGATCAAGCCTTTTCAATTTTTTAACTTATCTTAAAAAAAATTAAGGTTAATTTTGCTGTTGTTGTTAATCTTCACACGAGGATATTTTTTTCCATTGATTTTCAGATAGAGTGGGAGGAAAGGAGGGAGAGAAAGACAAACATTGATGTGAGAGAGACACATAGATGGATTGCCTCCCGTATAACCCCATCTGGGGCTGGGTGTCAAACCTGCAACCTAGGCACATGCTCTTGACCGTGAATTGAACCTGAGACCCTTTGGTCTGCTCTGAGGACCATCGCTCTAACTGCTGAGCCAAATCAGTGAGGGCAAGATTAATTTTTAATTGATTAATTTGCTTAACTTTAAATTGTCAATAAGGGTTTCCCCTGTGCCTCCCCTCACAGAACAGATGGAAAATTAAACTGGTCCATTTAGTAAATAATTCAGTGCAAACAAAACAAAATAACCCCAAACAATGTGTCCTGAGTTCTCTCATTTTTATTTATTTATTTATTTACTCCTGGCCCGAGGATATGTTTATTGATTTTTTAGAGACAGAGGAAGGGAGAAAGTGAGAGAAAAAACATTGATGTGAGAGAGAAACATCGTTCGGCTGCCTCCCATTCGCGCCCTGACTGGGGATGGAACCTGCAACCTAGGCATGCGCCCTGAGAACTGAACCCTGCAATCTACTGGTGTACAGGACGACTCTGCAACCATTTGAGCCACCCAGCCAAGGCATGAGTTCTCTCACTTTTAAATCAACGTCTAAGAAAACCCTTAGAGTACCATGTAAGAATATTTTAAGAATTTAGTTGATTTATCTTTGAAAAATTAAGCCCAACTGAGCTCTCTTTTTGCTTTGCATGTTTTTGCTTTGGAATAGAGCAGCAATTTTTAACCTGTGTGCTGCAGGAATTTTTAAAACATGCAGTACCTATTTATTCAGGGACACTGACCTCTTTTGCCTTAGATGGTCAAATAAAAAAATGACAACAGCCAGCACAACTATCCACTGTAAATGAATCAAAATTATACCTGTTTTTTTGTCAGATTAGCAAAAAATATATTTTTTGGTGTGCTGCAGAATTTTAGTGGTTAGTTTATGTGTACCTTGAGATGAAAAAGGTTGAAAATCACTGGAAGAAAGGATCGTTTTTGTTTAAATAGTGGCAAGTGTACCAACCTATTTATGTTAAAAGTAGATATTTAAGACATACTCGGAGGGAAATGACTCTTGAATACATTTACTCTCCCTTTCAGTTCATACATTGCAATTATGAGCTAAGTGAATGAATAGTCTTTAGTAGTTATGAGAGCCCTGGTTGCTGATTTTCCTAGCAATGCATAGCTTGAGAAGAAGCCATTTCCTTCCTCAGTCATCCCCACAGTTCTTTATTTTCTGGCTCTAAATAGTACCCATGTTTGTTGCACCAGCAGATTATAGCTGGAACCACCTTGACCTGGGTCAGAACAAACCGAAGAGGAATGAAATAGAGCTGACCCCTAGCTTCTGAGTGCCAGAGCCAGCAAACATGCACCCTTCCCCTTCAGACCTTTTGCTCCTGGGTTTCAATTCTTTCCTCCTGATCTCGAATTTCTCCTACTTTCATGGGCTGGAAAAATTCATTTACACGTTGGCCTGGAAATCTGGATTTGGTGGTCATTAGTGTGGGTGCAGAAGCTGTGAGTGATGATGATGTCCTCTTGGGAGAGCGAATAAATGTGAAAGAGAAGAATGCCATCAGTAAGACAATGCCCTGAATGAAAGACCTCATTTATCATGTCAATTTTAATGTCTTGCCCCAGTTAATTTTCTTATTGGTATTTGAAATGTTTTCATTAGCTAATTATATACATAAATAAAGCCTGACATTTACCATAAAATAAAAAGATTTAAGATCCTTGAAAAGAATAAGTAGATATAACTGTTCTCAGAGTGGGAGGGGTCTTCTTAAGTATGTCACCGAAGGCAGAAAATATGAAGAAAAAAGATACACACACACATACCCCAAGTTTGAAAGACGGGGAAAGAAAAAAGACTTAGTGAGCCGTATGACATAAAAACAAAGAACATGTTGTTGATTATTATTGTTCAAAAGGGAATTTTTTCCCAAAGAGTGAAAATGTATTATTGTTTGTTTGTTTTAGAGAAAGAGAGAGAGAGAAACATCAATTAGCTGCCTCCTGCACACGCCCTACTGGGGTTTTTGGTAATAAAACCTGCAACTTGGATTCCTTTTCTTATTTGCTGCAACTAAGAGTTGGGTCCTCCCAAAGGAGTTTTAGAAAGATAGAATAGAATTAGCAGAACCAAAATAAATGTATTAGTCAAAATATGCAATTTAAAATAGTTCTTCACCAAACAAATTATCAACTATTTTTTTAAAAATGTCAATACTCAGTATTATCAGATACTGTTGATTGCCTACCAAAATCTACCCCACCTCAACTTCTTCCTCATGGGTAGAGACCTGTGTTTACTCTAGGGTAAAATCCAGATTGGTTTAAGGTTTAGCTATAAACTCCTCCGGATAGTCCCATTCTCCTTTTCAGCGACTGGGTTAAGAGAGGGCATGCTACTCATTTCCAGCCAATGAAACTGGAGAGAAGTCTGCTAATTGGGCTTCTGGGAAAGATCTTCTCATCTGACAAAGGAGAAAAGAGGAGATGTGATTTTATTTTGTTTATTTATTTATTTTTACCTCTGGTTATGTCTTGCTAGGATGTTCAACCCAGAACTGCTTCAGCTATCTTGTAACCCTGACATCAAAGTAGAGAGAATAAGAATGACATTGTTGAGCCACTGAGTCAAGCAGTCTTGAAAACTGGTCTACCACTGGTCCTTTGTTAAATGGGATATTTTTCTTTATTAATTAGTCTCCACTGGGTTTTCTGTTTCTTTTAGCTGAATGCAACCTGATGTGGTGCCAAATGGAGGTGGGTAGGTAAACAGGATCCATTCATGTGTAAAGACTTGTAAGCCACATAAGGAGTTATGATTTTATTCCAAGAGCCATGAAGCCATTGAATTATTTTAAGCTGGAATATGACAT